TAAACCAGTAGTTTTTAAACCATCCTAGGAAATCCTGGGGATTATCTTGGGGGCTTTTAGGGGTGTGGAGGTCAGTCACTGAAGCACTAGCCAGGTTGCTGGAGACAAATCCTCCTCTGTTAGAGATCTACTTGCTTCCACCATCAAATACACACAGCCTTTACTGACTTCATAGGTTGTGATTCAACATAAAAAATTCTTTTTAATAAAGACTACATTCCTTAAAACAAATGAAAACCCCCTCATGTTTGGAAACTGGTACTTTCAAAGAAAATGTGTTTATTTACTTTCTGCAAATTAAGTTATGTCTTGGAAGAATTTTGAGACCTTTCAAAGAAAAGATGGATTGCAAACCCACTATTCTCTAGGAAACTACTCCAGGGATTTGGGGTGGGGAGAGCAAAATAACTGGAAGCCAAATATATATGCCTTTAATGATTGGACATGTCTCGCTTCAGGTTCAATCAATATACAGATTCAGTCTGCACTGAGAGAATTCTAATTGTGTGCTAGCCCTATCCTGTGAGCTTTTATGCAAGTCATATTATCCATTCCTCACAGCATTTTTAAAGTATTAGTATGTATCATTATTCCCATTTTATAACCAAGGAAACATAAGCTCATGGAGGATGAATGTTTTGTGTAAACACAATAGCTCATAAGTGGTAGAGCTAAATTTCAAACATCTCTCTCATAGTTTTCTATTATAATATGATTTAGGCCTTAGAACCTAAAACTCTGAAAACTTGTACATTATATCCTGTTTCTATTTTATTTGCATTATGATTAAAAGTCTATTATTTAGGGGAAAAATCTACTCTGGCTGAAATAATTTATACAGTGATCCTGGGATATGCCTTTAAATTTTCTAGGCTTTCCTATGCTAAGACTAGGCTACTAAGAGCTAGGAAACTTTTGGAAATCAGAGTGTGAGGACACCCAGCTTTTAGATCTCATGGGGCCACTCCGAAAGGTCAAGGAAACTACCTGAACTACCCACCCCCAAACAAATCCTCTATTTTTGAAATTTTCACTTGGGTCTAATATTAATAAAATTCATTTTAAAGGGCTAGTACAAGGATTGATGTTAAACTGGAAGAAATCTTTCATTGAGTTTGCAAGACAGGCTATAATAAAAGGAAGGTTTTATTTATGAGTGTTTATGAGAAAACTAGTATTTTTCTAACTTCTCAACATGATTATATTTGATAATGTCTTAGTAGTATATGTGTATTTTTCTCAAGTTCTAAAATAATAACTATCCCAACCATACCCAGAAAAATTATTTTCTTATACATCAAATATATTGTTGCAAATTATGCTTTCTCAGCACTATTCAATATTATTGCGTTCATTCTTTTTTAAAAATTTTTATTCTTATTTTGTATTTAGAAAACATTAAGCACCAGCTGGCTTGTTAAATGAAAGAGCTACTGCAATGAAGAAATGAAAATACTGATTCAGCAATGCTTCAGCAAAGCTGGAATCACATGGAGACTGAGTTTGTTCTCTCTCTTCTCTCACATCACTGAATGGCCTATGCTTTGTTTTTGGATGTTCCCCAAATGTCACTGCAGATTTACCATACCTAACCTATCTACAATTTTCTTCAACAAAATAATTCTATGTAGTTCAATATACATACTCATATTTACATGTGTATATATGCATATTTCTTATTTATAATATTCTATTTATATATGCAATAAACCAAGGGTATTCAAAAAGGTCATGGAAACTGTGTACTATGAAAGATATTACACATGGATTTAAATTTTTTTGCACCAAAATAAATTCCTGCTTTAACTTAATTTTTTTCCCATGAGCTTCTTGAAGTCACCTTGGTTTTATTTTTTTTAACTATATTCTTATGTAGATGAAGCAACAAGCATGGCCTCTATAGGAAGGTAAGAATCATGTCAGAACCAGAAAACAAAGCAAATATCCCAGCAGAATCATTCTCTGTGTTACTAAAAAACACATGAGGAGGGCTGTGTGGAGGATAGGATCACCCACCCAAAAAAAGGGATCTGATAGAAAGTGGTCAGATATGGAGGATCTATAGCTGAGCGAAGTAAGCCAAAATATGAAAGAAAGATATTGTATGTATCCACTTAATATATATCAACTATCCGCACTCTATGATAGAGATTGAAATATTGGAGGACATAAAAGCAGTGAAAATAGTTAACGAGGATAAGACAGTATGAAATGGGGTTGGAGAAGAGAAGAGCATAGAGAAAGATAGCAAGAGAACAAATAGAGACATGACATTAGTAGAACACAGATACGGTATATTACCTGTTGATGATGACGTATATAGTATTCTCAACTGGATTGGTCTTAGAAGTATTTCATGTTGGGTAAAGTCTTTTTACAAGCAAAATGAGAAATAGTGATCGACTGTTTAAAAATAATTGGAATAATAATAATAATAATGATTGGGAAAAATAATGAAAAGCTATTGGATGATGAAATGGGGATTTTAATGTCTTTGTATTGACTGATAGGCATGGTATTCCTTCTGGAAAAAGAAATGTAATACACTGTAAAGTTATATGTGATTCAATGTAATATAAACAAGATTATGATGATAATAAATAAAAAAAAATCTACAAAAGGGCTAGAAGGCAGAGTGGTGTGCATAGAGTCAAGTGCCTTTGTTCAAATGCCAGTCCTTTTTCTTACTATGGCATGGCCTTGGGCAATCTTGCCATTTCTTTATGCCTCAGTCTCCTTTTATGAAGAATGGGAGATTAGCCCCCAATTCAGAGGGCTTAGCACTAAGAGCTGCTACTTTAAAGAGTAGCCAATAGCTATAGGAAATGCTCAAATACATCAGGCCATTTAATCTTTCCAACAATCTTTTAAGGTAGCTATTCTTATCTGAATTTTACAATTCTTATAGAGGTTAGTCAATCTTGCTGAAGGTCACATAGCCTGACTTAGAGCTAAATTCAAATAACCAGAAATCTATCTGGGCTCTCAAACCAATGAGTTCAGCATAACTATAAATTTCTCTTGTAAACTAAACAGTGTTAACATCAATAAAATATTTTCTTTTAGAAGAAAGAGAGAAAGAGAATGAGGAAAGTGGGGTGTAGAGCAGAGGAGTGAAGGAAATAGAGATCTGAGAGCATGAGGACTACATTGGGTGCTCTCGTTTCTGTTTCCCTGTCCTACACACAAGCCCAAGAGAGAATTAGGACAGAGAGCATCTGGCTGGTAGGTGATGCTCACAGATCAAATGCCCACAATCAAGTGGTTAAGCACCATTGTGCATACATGTCCACATGTTTAGTACATCCTGAACACCCTGATAGGGAGTTAACCTCTTTAGGATTAACTCATCCAGCAGCTTGGATCCCATCCTGCTGGGCCCCAATCTGCCAAGCTCATGCTAAGGTTGTCGCCTACTTCCTCTGAGAATCTAAATGAATAAACAGAATATGAGGAAAAAGGAAATCATCATACAGCTTCTGCTGATACGAGAAACTTAGTAACAGACACTGTTGTAGAAAAGGTTTCACACCTGCTAGATCCAGAAGCTCCAAGCATGGTACACTATGGAATATCCACCCAGTGAATGGTTTTCCAGTACCTCTAGTTTTTATACAATGTATGAATTTCCAATATGAGGGCAATTAGTAAGAAACTGACTACTCATTTAAAAAATTCTAAAGATCTTTGTGGATTACTGGTTTTAAGCCAGCTAGGGCTCAGTTGGTAGGCAACAGAACTGCAGTGTTTGAAGCAACATTATTGACCACAGGTTCAGATTCCCAGGCCAGCCTGAAAACATGCTGGGCACACATATGTGTGCCTAAGATCCTGAGAAGATGGAGAGCTGTAGGAAGTGGATTGTGGCATGACGAGATGCTGTTGAGGGTGCTTCTCTCTTTCACTCTAATATGTGTGCATATATTCTCTATTATGAATAAAATAAATAAATGTGGGGCCAGCAGGAGGCATGGTGGTAAAGGCTCTAGACTCCCACATGACTGACCAAGTTTCGAGTATTGGAATCAAAAGGTGTCTTGCTTTCTCACTTTCTCTCTCTCTTGTGAACACATGTGCCCTATAGCAAATTTAAAATAATAATAATAAGTAAAATTAAATAATTCTTTAAAAAATAAAATAAAAATTAATAAATGTAAATTAAAAAAACCCTTTTTTATGATCTACTTAACTGATTTTTATTCTTGCACCTTACTTACTGCAAAGACCCCCCCTACCCAAGTGTTTTTTCTACTTTGCTTCTCACTCCAAAAGGAAGACTTCTGGACTCACATGTAGTCGATCATGGTTTAAGTCCTGGACCTGGTGGCTTAAAACTCATGCCAGGTGCATGTGCATGCATGCCCACAATCCCAAGAGGAGAATGGAGGAGAAGGGCTTGCAGTATGGCCATCTCTCCTGGAGAGTTATTTCTAGCTTTGTGTCTCTCTGTCTCTGTCTCTTTGGTGAGCACACGCACCCTACTGTAAAAAAATCTTTCTAAAAAAAGTAATTGCCATTTCTAGAGGAAGAAAAGGAGGATTTTTGTTTCTTTAAATTGCAGGTCAGAATCACACTAGTAACGAAGCCATAACAAGTTGAGCAATCAATCTTCAATAACAAGATATTTTCACTGGACACAGAGTACTTAGCTTTACCTGGCCTGCAGCATTTTACAGAGACTAGTAAGTTTCAGCTAATAATAAAAACAACTAACTGACATTTATATAGTACTATATAGCTTATATTTTCACAAGTCTCATGTAGTTGCATCGCCAGCATTTAATATACTTTTAAAAAGGAATAGCAAACACTTATCGAGTCTTACCATATGTCAGGCAATTACATACAACTCATTTAATTCATCATTTCATTAATCCCCAAGACAACCTATACTTCCTCCATTTAATAGATGAGAAAACTGAGACTCAAAAGAGTTAAATGACTCACCCAATCAATCATTAGTATGTGTCAGTCATTCTATTTCTTTACACCCACATTACCTGCAAATGGCTTTGGTTGCATTTCTTAGTAGTGAAGGATAAGTGGTGTCTTCAGCTTGGCACCAAGTGCTCTATGCACCATCAGTTCTGCAAGGTGCTAGGTGTTCTATGGAAAAAAAGGCTCTGAGGTCAAGTGGGCTTTTGAACTGCTTTGCTACTGGAAACTAAACATTTTATTTTTCCCATTTTATGAGAAGTTGCTTCTCAGGAGTCTCACATTTCCCCAAACACACTTTAGGGGATGCCGATCTAGGTTATCCTCCCATAGAAAGAACTCTAAAGACAGAGCTGGAAGATGAATTACTTTGGTCTCCTAGAGTCTGTTAACACTTTCCTCTTCCTATCACAGAAGATGTTTGAGAAAACACTGAAATAAAAGCAGCTTCACTTAGAAATTATGTATTAAGATCTTGTTGCCCAGAGCCATAGCCTACAGCTGTTGCCTTCCCCAGTTCCAACCCCAACTTCAGCTCTCTTCTAGAGCAGCTCTCAGTTTCTAACCCCTCACCACCGTAGCACCAGGAAGATGTGGACCTGAGAAGTAGAAGGCTTTGGGATCTAAGCCCATCTCCACTACCCTCAAGTACTGTGACTTGGGTTAAGTTATTCCTTTTGTGCTTCCACTTCAATTAACTATAAAATGGCAATAGTAATATTACCTTGGTATTAATATTGTCAGGATTAAGATTCTATAATAACACAGGGCCCACTTGGTGGTACAGTGGGTAATGCAGTGCTCAGGTGATGTTGAGTCCATATGGAAGATTGTGGGTTCCGTTCCCCAGTTGTCTACATACATCAGGCACATGCACCCATTATATTGGCTGGCTTGGAAGGCTGGTGAGGATCGTGGCATAAAACCCTGTAGAGAGTGTTTCTCTGTCACTTATTTTCATAAAAGAAAGAAACAAACAAAAAACAACAACAAACAAACAAACAAAAAAACTATACCAAAGCAACTGGTATGGAGTCTAGTACCAAGAGATGATATATAATTGTAGCTTTAGCTTTTCTGACAAACTAGAAATAGGGCCTTCAAAATAAAAGCTAATCTTTGCTATGGCTTTAATCCTGACATATAAAAAGGGTTTACTAAAGATTTGCTTTGCCTGTTCTCAGCAATATTTTATATTAGGCACAAATCTCCATAATGTCCCTCAATCAGAAAGTTAAAAACAAATAATGTTATTTTTCACACAAAAATATAGAACTATCATGAAGAGTCCTTATGGGAATTCTTTTGTATGTCCTTAGCATGGTATGTGATTCCAAATGAACTTAAGAAGACTATGAAATAGAACAACAATCCCTTCTGATTCCATAGCATGTCACCATTTATAAACACTTTCTTGCATGGGATCACAAGTGGGCATGTCATAGATATGATAGTCCTGATATCTCCTCAGCAACCCCAAAAGAACACTAAAGAGTTCTTGGTTCAACCCGGGCAATAGGAACCTCTCATTGCAAGGAAGGAGACCCATAACATTTCAGTAGGGCAGCCTATTCCATCCTCATTGCCAAATTTCACAGGTTCCTTCCATTGAAGTAAGATCTCATTTTTCCATGGTGCCTAGTCCTACCCTCAGGGACCACAGAAGAGACTAATTCTGTTCAGTAGCTGCCATGTGCTCCCCATGACTTCCTCTTCATTTGTAGACAGGGAGAACAAGGGCATCTTGCACAGAGATAGGTTTCCTTCTTGACTAACTATACTACCTTGAATACCTTTATGTATATAGGAGGAATTTTTCTAAAACCACAGAAACGTTCCTGGCTCTTCTTGATCCTTATGGCCCATCAAATGAAGCCAAATTCCTTGGCAAGGCCTTCACAATGTAGTCACCACCTGTCTTCCAGGTTACTCTCTCTGGCCCTCTTTGCCTCCTATCAGCCCTTACTGATATAAGTAGATCCTGTCTCTTCTCAGCTATGTATTTTTTCTAAGGCATATATCACTTGATACATTAGTGTCTTGCTTAGGTTGTTTTCTTTGATAAGACTATTCTGCCCCCCCTCTCCTCCAGGCACACTCTTATTCATTTTTTTCCCCCTAACCCTAACCCTACTTCTATTCATTTTTAAGGCTTGGCTTAAATTTCACTTTGGTCAACTACCAGACAGTTATCTACTTCCTTCTGTATAGTAGAATAGTATATGCACATGTCACACAAGTCTAAGTCTGTAACACTGTAATATAGTCATTTGGTTAATAAGTGGTCTGTCCCACTAGACTCTGAGAGCCTAGTAGGTATGGACAATAACTTAGTTATCTTGGTGTCCCTAAGTACTTAGTACAGAATCTGGGACAACTGGATAGCTACTCTATAAATGTTCGTTAAATGTGTGAATGAAAAGCAATGGAGCGGGACCAGCAGTTAGCCTAATGGCTATGTCGCTGGACTCCCATGTAGTCCATGGTGGTTGGCTTAAACTCACGCCGCGGGTATGTGCGTGCATGCCCAAGATCCTGAGAGGAGAATAGAGAAGGGATTGTGGCGTGGTCGTCCCCCCTGGGGGGTGATTTCTCGCTTTATGTCTCTCTGTCTCTGTGTGGCGAGCACAAGCGCCCTATAGCAAAAAATCCTCTAAAAAAAAAAAAAAAAAGAAAGAAAGAAAAGAAAAGAAAAAAGAAAAAAGCAATGGAGCGAAACATCTTCAGTTGAAGGACGAATTAACCGGGGCCTGGTTGGAGTCAGGAGCGTCTGACGACCTGAGACTACAGTTCTGAGCGGAGTCACTGGGCCTGGGATAAATACCTCAGGAATCCGGGAACATCAGGCGCAGCTATGGGGCAAAGCGGGCCACGATGGGAAGGGTGACTGTGCCGGTGCCCCTGTCCTTGGGGTCTGGAAGGCCGCGGAGGGCCCGGGGGCTGCTGGAGCGCTGGTGGAGCGGATCTGCCAAGGTACGGAAGCCAGGGGCTCGGAGTCCCTGAAGTGAGTACTCGTGCGGAGTCCCCAGGACCCGCCAGGCCGGGCCGAGGCCTAGGCTGACAGGGGCAGACCGCGCGGCCGGCCAGGAGGGGGCGGGCTGCCGGTTCCCGCGCCGCGGCTCCCTCTAGGGGGCGCCCTGCGCCGTCTCCGCGGGCGCCGACCCCAGCGAGCTCCTCCCGGCCGCCTCGGCCGCCTCAGAAGGCGCCTAACGGCCCAATTAAGTGATCCCAGACTGAAACCGCGCCAGCTGCCGCGGAACAAAGCGGGTTTTCAGGGACCTCGGTCCCCTGAGGAAATCAGGACAAAGCCGTTCACTAGAAGTATGTAAATAAACTTTCGGCCTCGATGAATAGGCGTCGCTCCGAGGGGCCAGGCTGGGGGATTTGTTACCTTGGGGGTGGCTGTGGAATTTTCTCTCCTGGGGACTTTAACAGCAGGTGACATTTTTATCTGTCTGGAGTCGCTGAGCTGTGAGCCATCCTGCACGCGGGGAGCGGGTGGCGGCCAGGAGAGATTAGCCCACCCTCAGCTATGGAAACGGCCTCCCCGTGGTGAGGGGAATCGCGTGTGATCCATAGATAGGTACCACGGGCACGTCTTCCTTCGCTTGGCCACAGAGGCACACCTTGTTTTCTGTGATGACTCAGAGCTCCTGAGATACGACATGCTAAATGAGCCCCTTAAACTGTACCCAAAATAGTAAGAATTCCGGAAGATGAAAGGATAGATAGAAACCCAAAAAATGACTTTCATCCTGTAGGCTAAAAACAACTTTTAGAAAGCCGAAATTAGTAAACTTATAAACAGGTCGTTAAAATAACAACCTGTTGTTAATATATTTAATGTGAGAGGCACCATGTATATAATAGCAAATTAGCTCAGATCTTATAAACTCTGCCGCTTACTAGCTGTGTGATCTTGGCCAAGTGTCTTAATCTCTCTGTTCTTCCATACCTTGTATAAGGACGGGGGACATAACAGTTTCTACTTCATATGGGTAGTATAAGTATTAAATGAGTTCCTTTAGCTAAAGCATTTAGTGCAGAGCCTGCTATGTGAATTCTACTGAATAAAAATATTTTAGCTGTTAAAATTTTTCCTAAATATCCATATAAACTATATTTCTAGTTACTGTGTAGCCAAATTCTGTTTGAATGCATTAAAAATATAAAATGTCAAATGTTTTAGAGATATGCACACTGAGTAAAAATCACTAACCAGATAATTAGCATAATTGGTAAGCATTGTATTAAAAAAAATCCAACTCCTTCAAATGAATTTTGGAACTTTGTATCCCATTCCTTTCCTTCTTGCCTGTGCATTTCAGTGTGTTTGGGATATTATCGTCCTGGAGGTATTATATACTCCTTTTTCCCTTTAGTCCTTTTTTTCCCCAGTTGTCTGTTCTATCTTGGAATCCTTCACTCCCGTCACATGCTTCTTTGCTTATTAAAATCTCACCCATCCTTCAAGATCCCCTAAAATCATACTTCTTCGCACATTTTCCAGGGAGCCTTCCAAGATGTCTTTAGGAAAGTGATCTTCTTTTCCTTTATTTCAAATAATCATTTATATCTTATTTAGGGTACTTATCACTCTCTTATTGTTTAATTTATTTGTGCATTTATCTAACTTTTCTTACTAGATGAAAACATTTGTATCTTTCCTATCCTCTAGCAGAAAGCCTTCTGTATCATAAATGCTCGAAGCCATTTATTGAGACTGAAGTCAAGTCTACAATCTATTGTTTGCTATTAAAAAACTTCCATTCTTGGGACGTCAAGATTGAGTACAATCTTGTACATTTCTGGTAGCAGGCATTAGTAGGAGACTGAACACAATTTCTATTCTCATGTAGCAAAATGTGTGCTCCCTGGAAAGGGAAGAACCCTTTGTCCTGGGCTCTAAATACAACTGGTACCATATTCTGGAAAACATTTTTCAACATTGACATTGACTAAGTAGGATATAGTCATAGAATAGTGTCCTGGGCAATGCAGGCCTGCTCTAAATAAAGAGATGTAGGAACTGGGAATGTAAAGCCTGACTGAAGAAGGCTCTTATTGGCTTCAAATATTTGAAGAGTTGTCATGGTGATGATGAGGGGTTAGATTCTGAAATACTTTGGAGGACAAAACTGGGACCAGTGGGTGGAAATTACTAGGAGGCAGATTTCAGCTCAATATTAGAACATTCTAATAAATGTCACTATTTATCAGTGGAAGGAGCTGCCTGAAACAGTGATAAGCACCCCAAGTAAAGGTTTTGAACACAGGCTGAATAATCTCTTGGCTGTGGGAGGATTGGGTGGGAGGTTGGGCCTTAAGACTTCGAAAGCCCCTTCCACCCCAAAGATTAATTGATTTTATGGAAATCTGTATTTGAGCAAAGGGTGGTAGGATAAATATGTTGCTTTTGGTGCATTTTGAATGCTGACAGGGTTGGGATGGGGGAAAAAAAGTCTGTAGCTTATTTTGTTGCTTTTCCCAAAGAAAAGGATATAAGCTTTCATTTAGGGATTTTATAAAATCCATTTAGTTTGATTTTCTTGTCTCATGGTTTAAGTGCAAGGAGAAACTAGCTGAGTTTTCTACTTGGTGACAGGCTAAACTGCGTTTGCACAAATTGTTTCCTGTGAATCTTATTTTCAAGTTCATATTTATAGGCTGCACTTGATACCAGGGCTGTATTTTCTATGCCTTGATAATTAGTGCAAGGATGTTCTTGCCTGCATGTTGGGGGAGGGAGGAGCTATTTGTAATCTTGAACTAACTGAAATTTCCTTAGTGACTGGAATAGTTTCCACACACTTTCTACACTCCTGTGGATAATGACATTGCTAACCTGCTGCCATACTGTTAATGTAGTCATGTGTTTTAGGACAAGCAAAGGACGCAGAATGTTGGCTCAAGAAGTCCGTTCATTACCTTTTCCTCTGTCTCTCCCAGATAGAACCGTTTTTCCTGTTATTGACATGAAGACCATGTTTGCACTTTGAAAGTAATTAGTAATGGATTCCTTTGCATTTTTTCTGTACTGCTTGCTGCTTATAGTTACACCATCTGATGCAGAGCTTGCATTTTTATACCTAGTATTGACTAAGTCATTTTTATCAATGGTTTGTATGTTCCGACTATAACCTTACCACTAAACAATCTATATTAGCTCTCTTCGTGTTCACCAGGTTACTGGAAAAATGGAAAACATTTCCTAATTCTGATCTAAAGGAAAACAATGTCTGGCCTCTACCCCCGCAACTCTGCACTAGATCTAGGTTCCCTCTCGGATTGAGTTTGTTAAGGATAGTAAGATTATTCTGGATAGTCTGGGGGGTCTCAGAACAATTGGAAACAGGAGTTAGATTTAATTAAATTTAAACACAAAATAAACAATTCATAAGTAGAGGGGTGTTCTCTTTGGTTTTCACCTGTAAAAATTGCATCAAAGTGGCATAACTGCCCTCACACACTTAGTTTGGGAAAGGTTTTCTCCTTAGCAGTGTCTGATTTAATTAACCTGAAGGGCCCCAAATGGAATTCCGTTAATTTAAGGTACAAGGGGGGCTATTATACACGATATATATTAATAATATTTGTATCATTTTGTGTTAGATTCTGAAGCTGCTTTCCTTAAAATAATTGCTGAATTTTACAAAAAGAGCCTCTGAAAAAATAAAAACACCTCAGGCTCTAACCTGGAAGGGAAGTTTCTGAGAAAGAAGGAGATCCTTTTGTAATCGTTCATATATTATAGCTCTCTGTTCCTGCTATAGTTGGGGGTTTTGGTCCTTTCTTCAAATTCACTAATAACAGAAATAAGAAGAAGGAGTGCTTGATGCACAAAACAATCAAAATTTGCACAAACAAAATTTGCTGCAAAAATAGTCTCAATTTTCTTGTTCTTTCTTAGAATCAGGAATAGCCAGATAACACCTCTCTATGCTTATATTTTGTGCTGTTCTCAGTGTTTTATTTTGGACATAATTGGTTTCACATACCACCAGATAGAGCAGAGGGAGAAATAATTTCCCCAGGAGGTCTCCCAGCTATTAGGGTATTACTATAGAAACAGTCTGTCAGCACTGACATTCTCCCACATCAAAATTTGTTTATGTATAAAATGAACTATATAAAACCATCCTGATGGCACTTTTCCCCCTCTTCTAGATGAGTCATTGTCTAGTTTGGATTTGATGCCATGCTTACAACTATTTACTCAACGAAATAAAAGTTGATTTTTAAAAGTACATCTGCGGTATGTACTATTGCAAACCTGCATGCAGAGTGCCTTGAGCCTCCTGCTCAGTCTCTGCAAAGCGATCAGAAATACCACCTTATTTTATCAGTGTCAGACTGATCATGTTACCTAACTTCACTTAGATTTTTATGAGCAGAGTTGGAAGCCCATCATCTCTAACTTTAATCCGTAGAGGTCAGGTTATTTTTCTCATAGTGAGTGAGGAGTGGTTTGGGAGGACATGCTGTCATCTTTAGAATAAAATCCCTAAGGCTTTAGAAACTCTTGGTTTAGATATTAAGTTCAGATTTATGTGCTTGGTAAATCACTTGGTTTCCAAGTGTCAAAGTGGTTTTAATAACCCTAAGTAAAGGGGAAACTCAGAATGAAACTTTAAAAAAAAAATGTAGAGCAGAAAGGGGAATGATGATTTCCACAATTTAATTTACAAAAATCAAAGATGTTGCTTACTAAAAATGCCTGGTGGCAGTATTCCTTGTTTGCATAGATATTTTAATTTCAGTGATTTCTCGTAATCTATTTAGCTCAGAATCATATTTTTAGTAATGGATTCTGCTGATCTCAGAGAATGCTTCCCTCTGAAATAACCAATGTGCTTGAAACTTGATAACCCCACCACTCTTTGATTGTCATTGACAAAGAGAACATAGAGCTAAATACACTGTATACTATACTTGCACTTTATTTATTCCAAGTTTTGTCTATTTATGTTCAATTCAACATATCTGAAAGTGAATTTTTCTAACTTCCATTTTTAAAGAATTATTTATTTATTTTAATTAATTTATTTAATTTGACCAGAGAGAGAGAAAGTGAGAAGTAAGTTGCCAGGTCCAGGATTCAAACTGCAGGTAGTCAAATGGGAGTCCAGCGCCTTAACCTCCATGCCACCTGCAAACCCCAAACTTCTATTTTTTAAAAAATCCCCATCATCTGCTAGGAAGTTGACACTATTCATGTCTCATTGATTCTGTATATCCTATGGCTATTTGCTAAGAGAAACTGTCCACCAGTTGCCATGTGTTAACTTCTCTAGTCAAATTCTGAATTACTTATTGCTTGG